TAGATGTGTGGGTGGTGTAATGGATAAAGGCTTGGAATTGTTAATTGGAGAACAAAGTTCTAATTTTTGTTGGGTTTGATATTTTCACTTATGCACAAATAACCATGGGATGGTATGAACGCACCTATCTATTCAAGCTATGGATTAAATAGTAAGATTTGTATCACTAAAACCGTTATTATTCCCCCACCTCAAAAAAAAATTCTTACAATTTAAAAATATTTTTTGGCTTTAAATAACCTGCAAGGCTGTATAAAAAATCTACCTTGAGTTGCGCTTTGGCTCTGTATTAAGTGAATAATTGCATAAAAAAGATACTTTTGCTTTCACTTAAATTTACTGTGTGATCAACTGCTACATCTAAACCTACAATCTGATTTTTTTCTCCGTTTATTATAATTAGATTTGGCTTCTGTTGTGGATTCTCAAAACTCCTGAGAATTTTATGTTTTCATTTTACAAATCAGATCTTGTTTTGAGCATATGTCATCAGTTTGTATGGTTAAATACTAGCTGTAGATACAGTTCTCAGTGGATCACTCTTCCTACCCATTCATGTGTGTTTTTTATACTCTTTCTGAACTAACATGTTCTGTTTGCTTATAATGTAATTGACCTTTAGCATTCATGGGTCTATCATGACATGTCATAACATAGCTGGTCAATGTAGGTGGTTGCTGGGAGACAAACCCATCTTGTTCCATGGCTAGGTGTCCTGAGCAGTCAATCACTTGCTAGTTCTTGTTTTGCTCACCAGCAGTGCCATGCAAAGCACATTCTGCATTCTCGTAAGATTGTATTAATATCAGGTATAGGTCCATTGATATTGTTCCCAAAAGAGGTTAAGTATTGCTCTCAGCAATGTAAGTTCCATCAAGTTTAGACTCTAGGGTTTTAGTTAATGTCCAAGCAGTGGACCCATATTTTAAAACCACCTCTACAGTGGCTTGTAAGCCTCTCCGCTTGAGGTTGTCTGGTAGATCAGATTTTCAGATTATATCCATTTTATTCAAGGTAGCCCGGGCTATAGAATTTATTTCAATTCCTAATTATGTAAAAGATTTGACAGATTTTCTTCTTCACCTGAAGCAGTCTCACATCTTTATTATTCTCTTGTGTCTTATTTATTTCAGTTTTCATATTATTTGGGTTTTGATGTTATTTCTTTGGATTGTTATTATAAGCAATCCCTTATTCATTGTCTTTAAATGTTCCTTTTGCATTCATATCTAAGTTTGATTTGTAGTTATTTCATTTTATCTTCTGAAATGTCTATACAGCTGTTTGTCCATCATTGTCTTTTCAGGTTTTCTGGTTGTGTATTTATTTTCCTGTTATAAACATTCATATAACTATATTGGGAAATTTTATTTTTGTTACTACTTTAATACTACTACTCATTGTATTTTTGCTGCTGTTATCATTATTATTATGTTTTGCCTTATCTGTAATAATAAGTTTAGATCTTTGTGCCTTGTTGACATGATCTGATATTATTATTACCACACCCCACTCAGTTTTTTTCTGCATTTTATTAAATTTATTCTTAAAGATTTTTTTTGTATTACTCTCATGTACAATCATCATGATTTTCTATCTGGGATTAGAGTATAGTATCTGTCCCAATCCCTAGTTTTTCTAAGTTGGAATCAGCTATGCTTATTAGACAAGAAATTTGCATGAGTAATATTAAGTTGGAAGGAATTGGTGTTAAACAAGACAGAGAAAAATATGAGGGATAAAAAAAGGTAGAGAAAATAAAAATATAACCAGAGGAAATGTGTGTGTGTGTGTGTGTGTGTCTATATATATATATATATATATATATATATATAAAAAAAGAAAGAACAGTAAGATATATAATCCCGTGTTCTTATTGATATTTTTATTTTTACAAAACAGTGCTCAATGTAAATTTACAGAGCATAAATATTATAAATTAACTGGTTTAAAATGTTTTTTTTTTGCTACACAGTAATAACCATGTTTCAAAAATGGAAGCTAAAAACTTCAAATTTAATTTTGTGATTAAATTAAAAATATTAGTTCCATTTCATCTTCAAATTGAATATTGGAGTAACTTATTTTTTTTAAATTTACTGAGTTTTTTTAAACACACAAAAATTCATAATTCACTGTTTCCAAGGATACAGAGAAATCCAATCATTCAGACAAGGGGTGGGAGCGTGTCCATTTTTATTAACTTTTGTTGTATCAGTTAATCAGGATTCAACAGAATGATATAAAAAAAAATGTTTCCCAACTTGGTGCACGGTAATATTTTGGTGGGGCATGCATAAGATGTGCACCGTTTGGCTTACTATACCAACAGAATAAGAGGGGCAATTCGAGAATGAGTTATTAACAGTGAATTGTTTTCTAGTGAGTTTGAGTGAGTGTGTTAATGTTAATGCATGTTAAATAATACGGCATAAATAGAATATGCATACATAAAGATATTTTGTGTATACATATGTATGTACATGTGCAATTGGCATACATGTAAGAATTAAATATTACGGGAGGAGGGGGGTCACCAGAATTTTAGAAATTCCAAAGTGGGGCATGGCCCAGAATCAGTTGGGAACCACTGATATCAAAGAACAAATAGGAAACATTTATCAATCTAACATATAAATAACAAATAAAAATTAAACATATTAGATTGATAAAAATGTCCTATTTTTTCTTTATCATATATATAATTAAATAACAAGATGGAAAATATATATAAATTTAGAAATTGAGGCATTTCTCTGCATTGTTGCCTTTTAAAAAAAAAAACTTTCTGATAAAGTGAAATAAATAGTGAAACAAGTTAAATTTGTAAAGATTTTCCTTATTTAATTATTTTGGTAGATTTTCAACTAAAAAAGACAAAAAGTGTATAGAAAGTGCTTTAATTGCTAGATCATCCTCAGTAAATTTCCACCCAGGTTCTTAAAACATGTCACTTTTCTTGGCAGATCTTCTATTATAACAATGTGGGATATGGAAAAAAAACAAAAGTGATAAAAACAAAAAGAAACTAAATTAACTTGGCTAGTCTATATCTGCAACCATATTTAAAAAAAAAAGAAGTTTATAATTTCAGTGTCCCCTCTCCTTTTTGCTCATGTGTAGTCACATCACCATAAACATCACCTTACTTTGATGAAGTCTCAAAGGAAAAAACATATGCACCTTTAAAATTTTGTTTGTGAAGGGATTTCACCATTTTATGTCATTAACGTTACTAGTCTACTTTTTGTATGAATGATTCATTATAATATAAATTGAACTGCACCACATATTTGATATATATATATATATAGTTTGAATTAACCTGGTGCAGTCAAAATGTGTATAAGATTAGCAATGCAATACATGGTTCCAAGTGCAAAGGGCCTGTTAGCATTCAATTTTTTTAATTTATTTTACCTCAAGCAAGGCAATAAAGCCATTTAAATGCAAAGGGTGACTGAGGGTGAAAAGTATGAATATCTGCTCTAATGGAACATTTGCTATGAATTTTTCTGTTAGCAATTATGAGATAGTTGTCAGAATCCATTGTTGTGGCTGTAATAACCCCTCCATTTAAAGTATTCCATGCATTTGTGTAAATAAACACCATAAAATTGACAATAAAAAAAAAAATCAAAGGTTTTTGGGACATTGTCAGGATCCAATTATATAATTAATTGGCATCTGAAATCTGATAGCTGAAGGTTATCACATGGAGATAGTCATCATGATAATGCACAAACACAAAACCATTAGAAAAATGTAACGGAATTAGGTTGAATTATTATTTTGACCTATACGTTTATGATTAGATATATTTTAAAATTAATTTGGGTGAGAATACACCCACAGGGCGATATTTATTGTCTTCTTTCAATAGACATAAACAGATGTAGTTCATCCATTTCAAAAATAAAACATCTGAAATAGTGAGAAATATTTTTGCAAAATACAAAGAAAAACTCAAAAAGCAGAAACAATTGTTAATCACAGTGATTTGTTTTGAGTTGTTTGTGTTTTTTTTTTGATTTCGTTTCTGTTTGTATCTTGATGCTTTACTTACCAGATTTTCTTGTTGGCTAATGGAAATTGGGGAAAAGAAAAGAAAAGAAAAGAAAGTGAATTGGTTTCACTAATAAATGAAATAAAAATTTTTGTTGCTATCTTCACAACACAAAATGTCAAAAGCTAAAGGAAAGTGGGAGGTGGGAAGAGAAACGTTATTGGATACTGAGACAACTTAATGATAACAATCAAATGCAGATTCTTAAGAGAGAACTCGAGAAAAATTGTTAAATGAAATAAAAAATGAAAATAGAGAGAATATTTGGAGAATTAGAGTCTGAAAAGACTGATAGAGATGGTAGAGAGATTTTTTCTTAGAAAAGTGATGGTATTCCAGTGGCCATTATTGAGGATAGATAGAGAAGAAAAGTGATGATAGATATATATATATATATAAATATATATGATAGAAATTGATTTTTCAGAGGTTTTTTTTGATGGGATAGATGAAATTTGATAAAAAAATAAAACATAAAAGAAAAGGTGAAGATTTTTAGAGATTTGAATGATAAAAGTTACAGAAAAGATGGTTAATCAGATGATGGGCTTGGGTTTGAAACAAGGATGAAAATAGTTTTTTAGACCATCCTTAGATAGTAAGAAACAGACGGAAGAAAGTGAAAGTAGAGATCACCATTCATTGAGCATAGATGGAAACAAAGAGAGAAACAAAAAGGATGGATAAGAGGATGGCTTATATCATTTTTGAGAATAAAATGAGAGAAACAAGAAATAGTTTGGTGTAAGGATAGAGAAAATTGATAGCACAAGAAATTTAGAAAAGGATGATATACTATTAAGGAAAGGTTAAACATAGAAAATTGATTAAACATTAGAGATATAGGTGAGAGGATCACAGAGATAGATAGAATCTTAGAAAATGTAAAAAAAAAGGACACAAAGAGGAATAGGTTATTGAGATAAATAGATAGTCAAGAGAGGGGTGACACTAGAGAGCCAAGAAGGATAGATAGAAGAACAGAACTGAATGATAGAGAGGGGTGAGATGAATGAGAGAAAGATGAAAGAACTGTTTTTAATTCTAACCGATAGAAAGGGTGGTAGAGGGATCTTATAGAAGAAGTGAAGACATTGAATTGATGAAATAGAAAACTACATTGGTCTTGAGGATAGAGAGAATAGAAAAGTGATATATAAAGAGGGGTGAAGGATAGGAGTGATAGAAATGATGATAATAAAATATTGGAAAGGATGATTGATGGTATTTTGATAAAGGATCCCAAAAGTGATAGAAATTTTTAAATGAAAATAGAGAAAGGGGGAGGATGCAAAGAGTGATAGAAAGGGTAGAAGGATAGATGAAAGGATGATGAGAGAAAGTGATAGAGTTTTGATGATAGAGAGAGGGGGGGATAGGAGGAAAAGATGAGATGATAAATAAGCAAAAGGGGATGGAAAGGTTTGTGAATTACTAGGATATAGAGAATTTTATGATGATCAAGAGGTTTCAAGAGAAATTTGATGAAGAAGAGAAAGCTAATTGATAAAAATGAGAATGATATATATATATATATATATATATATAAAGAGAGAGAGAGAAAGAGAGATAAAATGTTGAGGTAAAAATGGCAAGAGAGAGGTAGAAATAGTGAGAAAGGGATTTAGTGAGTGTAAAAAAAAGTTCCAGTCAGTGCTCAGAGAGAGAGGGCACAGAGAAAGAAGAAATAAAAATATATTGAATATTGGCAAAATAATTTCTTAGGACTGAAAAAAAAGAGAGAGATTAATAGAATAGAAATTCTATTAACCAAGTAATGAGAAAGAAGCAGAGAGAGAGATGAAAGACGTGAAAGAGAATTCCTAGTGACTGAAACGGAAGAAGAATCTAAAGATTAGAATGAGAATTTCTCATGACTAAAAGGAGAGAAATTAAAAGACTGAGAGGAACTGATAGAAAGAGAGAAAGACAAAAAAACGGGAAAAGAAACAGGGAGATATAAAAAAATTGAAGAGAGATTCCCTATCACTAAAACAAGAAAGAGCAAGAGAGATGAAACTATAGCAAGAAACAGGGGAAGAGAAAGAGATATATGAAAACATTTAAAAGAGAGAGTCCCACCATCAAGAGAAAGATTATAAGAGAAAAGAAACTCAACTGATCAAATTGTGAAAGAGATAGTTAAAAAAATTCTCTTGTGAGAATATTGAAAATGAACATTTGATTTTGGTCTTCTCCCAAACTCCAAACAGAAAATCAATCAAAACATGTTTAGAAAAAAGTTAGCAAAAGGGTAAGCAAGGTGGCAGAGTGAATTTGAAATATTTTTTTTGTTTTTTTTTTTTATCTACATTGCAAGTTTGATGAATCTGAAAGTGGGAGATTCAGTGAGAAATTTGAACCAGTTTCTTTATTTTTAATTTTCATCTTAAATTTAAGTCCATTATACACTTGTCTTTTTCTTGTATCAACATTTTTTTCTACCTTGAATATTTTCAAAATTACTACCTCAGATCTTTGACTTTTTTGACTTAATTTGTTATATTTTTGCCTGAGAGTTTAGAAAGTATATTCTTTTTCAATGTGCTATGTGCCTACAGGACATGGGCCATCATGGCTCCTTTGTAGAGCTTAATAAATTTTTTCTTTTCATTATGCCTCCAACTCTCTGTTGTGTCATCCATTTACACAAGCTTGCTAGGTAGTTTATTCACTGCTTTCCTTTGTCTCTTTTTTGCTTTTGGTATGTCTAGTGAATGTTAAATTTTCCAAGCCTTCTTTCCTCATTACATGCCCTAGGAACCTCAACTATCTGTTTCTGATACTAAGTATAAGTGTTTTTTTTTGTTTCCATTTTCCTTAAAACTTTCTTGTTACTCACATGTTCAGTCTATGGTAATCTCAGCATCTTTCTGTAGCATCAGATTTTTGTTGCCTCAAGTCTCTTCTTCATGTGTGAGGAGATTGTCCAGCATCCACAAACTGAAAGATGAATATGTATTCATTTGTTTATAATTGTGTATCAATCAAGTAAAACTTCTTGAAGCAAACACACATATTGGTAAATGTGTATATGAGTATGTAAATTTGAGCAAATCATCCAATGTGTGTGTTTATGTAATTGAGATATATATATATATAAAACCAAGATAAATCCAGCAGCTATTGTTAAGCTTCAAAGAACAACTCTGCCAAAAGAAAAAACATGAAAACTGACAAAAGAAGTGAAAGAACCCCCCACCAATAATAAAGAAAGACAGATGCCTACCTATATAAAAACCTAAAGTGCTCAGTGCCTCTAGAAATTAGAGTAAGACAGAGTAGTAACAATAACAAAGCAAAACAGTGTGCAATGACTAAGATTGAAATCACATAAAATTTGAAGTAGCAATTTGGATCTGTGTCCCAGAATGTTGTTTTCTTTTAATAGTAATATTGTGGCAGATGTGATGAGACAGAACCTGGGACGAGCACAACTGGATGCGACTTGCCTTGTCCCCACCAAAAAAGAGCCCATATTTGCTTAGCATGTAAAGCTACTGCAGTTGAAATGAGGGAGAAAAAAAGCACTTACTGCTTTGCCGTAATCCGTCCTCGGCCAGATAACGTGAAAGAATGAGGGGGGGACTTGCATTGCATTTTTATGCAATAACGATGCAATGCATTATGGGACATGGACGCAATGAATTATGGGATCACATGAAGACGCAAGGGATTATGGGTATATGGACAAATATAAAAGCAACTAATTTTTCTCAGTGCGGGGGTGCTTTGAGTGACGTTCATGGTTGGCGGCTAGAAAAGTCTGTTAGTGCGATTTTGAGACAGAACTCAAGAAGGAATGAGGTTGGAATACCAGCTGGGAGAGCTTGAATTTACTCGCTGGTTGCTGTTTTCTTTTTATTCACCACAAATATATATTTATATTGTCCCATCATTTTCAACATATGAAGATATAGCAACTCAGTTCTTAGAACTGAACAGCTTGACTATCCCCACACGATTTGGTTATAGTGGAGAAGGCTAGTGCAGAACCAGCCACCTTTTCCAGAACAATCAAATACAGAGAACTGGTACACAGTGTGTGCCATGTTTCCAAATGATTCTCAACAGGTTTTGAATTCAGAGTTTTCTTCTCCTAGACTGGTTGCCACTCAGGGCTATTGGCTGCTCAGTCAATGAATGATGAATGTTTCCAGTCTGTCCTGCTATTTACCTGTAGATGAAGGGGAGAAGAGATCAATTCATACTTTTCCAAAGAGTATGTAACAAACTTGACTGGAATTCAAACTCAGCTCTCTGATTCCTTAGTCTGAGCTGCTATCCACTACTCTAATATATATATATATATATATATATATATATGAATGATAGGATAAAGAACAAGTGGGAGACAGATCTCTACCTAACATGTTTCACTTACATTAAATGTTAGATTGAGGTCTGTTTCCTACTTGTTCTTTATCCTATCATTTTGTCAGATTCCGATCCATACTTGATATATATGATGGACTCTCCTGTCATATTCGATGTATGAGAGTCAAGCAGCTCAGTTCCTAGAAACTGACAGCCAGACACCAGCATATATGATTTCATTATGGTGGTGAAGGGTTTGTACAGAACCAACCACACTTTTTTGAATGGCTGAATACAGAGACCAGGTGCACTATGTGCCATAAGGTTCCCAAACTCCAGGTTTTGAATTAAGAGTTGTCCTTCTCCTAGATCAGTTACCATCCAAGGCTATAGAACCCAGTCTGTCCTGCTATTTGCCCATAGCTGAAGGGAGAAGAAGGGGATTCATACCTTTCCCAAGGGTTTTAGCACGTAAATGAATGTAATGCATTTGACTGGAATTTAAACTCGGCTCTTCAATTCCTCAATCTGAGCCGCTATTGCTATCCACTTCTCCACCAGGCCTCCCATAATGATAGATCTCTCTCTCTCTCTATATATATATATATATATATATATATATATATATATATATATATATAAAAGCATAGTTGAGAATTTTAAAATATGTTTTTTCTTTTTTTTTGTACGTTTTGAACTCTTAAATGAAATGTTATTTAAGCATAAATATTTATTGATTTTCCTCCCTCAGCCTTATCCTAATACACCCTTTATTATAAAAGAGATGAATTAAATTTCATCTCACAAGAGCTGCTCTCAAGAACTTGTATATATTTTAAGGTAAACCGTATGTACATATATAGGTATATACTTGCATATTATGTAATCATTTGATTTAGATAGGGATGTCACTGACATTGCAAAAATCATATACTGGCTGAGTCTCATAAAGAAAAATATACAAAGATATATGTTCACAGAGATATTTCCATCAACTTCATACGTTTACACAAACAAATCATAGAATAAATTGCAAATCGAAAATGTGTTTTTGCAATTTATGTCCTATTACTAACTTTGCCAGGCTTTTTATTTTTTATGTCAGATCTGATGCATCTAAAATAAAACATTATTTTCACATTGATCTTTCTCTTTTTAAACTTTGTAAAAGCATTTTTTATTATTATGAAATTGTTTAATTATTGTCATAACCATATTTGCTATTCGCAAAGTAAATAAGTTGACATTTTTTGAAAAAAATTCAATATTCTGATGAAATTTCCTCTACAGTATGTAGACTTTATTAATGTAATGGCAGTACTGAATTGGCAGCTAGGTCACACCATTTTACAGTTGAAATGGCTACATATAACTGTAAGTTCTACACTAATAGTTTCCTCTCTCACAATTCTCACTTGCGGAACTCTCTTCCAGCTTCTTACTTTCCACTCAATTTTGATCTTCAAAAATTTAAGTGCAATATCAATCTTTATCTACTGTCTTCTTCATTCCTCTTCTTTTATGGCTCTCGCGTCTTAATAATGATTTTCTTTTTCTTATTCTTTCACACTCAGTGACCTCTTGTGTCTTAGCAGAATTATTACCTTGCTTGGGGTGAAATGAGTAAAAATAATCTCTGTATGCTTGGGTAGTTCAATAATTTCATAACATTATTTGTTGTTGTTAGCTGAATTTGGATCAAAAATTTTCAATGTATAGTGTTTGAGATATGTGATTATATAGGTACATTTCTTAGTGTACTTACATATTCACCACTGAATTAAGTGCATTGACAAAGAAGGAAATTGTGTTGAGAAATAAACATTGTCACATAAATGTTTTTTCATCACTAGGCTACAGATTTATTCATGTAGCTATATATTGACCACTGAATTAAGTGCATTGACAAGGAAGGAGATTATGTTGTAAAATATTTGTGTAAAATAAATGCATTGTTCATAAGGCTGTGAACTTTTAGATGCATATAATCATACAGGTGAGAAATCCTGTCCTGTCGTCAATTGTACCATACCACTTGCATATTTTGATGCAGTATTGTAATATATAGGCTGCTCGGTCAACAAATAATGAATGTTTCCTTATAATTGCAGCACCTCCCTGAGAGAGCACCTTAAAATTCAAGGTCCACCCTGAACACTTTTTATCTTATATTCTCAAATATATACACTTATTAACATATATAAAAGAAAGTAAAGATGGTTTTCAGCCATGATCCTTCCCATTTATAGATGATGTCAAATGGGATATAGTATCTCTTTTTGGAAAAAAATATTACCACCAATAAAAATCTTGCAATATTTCTGAGATGAGGTATTATGTACACTGTTTACATTACTTGGACTATTGTCATCATCTTTGTTGCTATATTTATCACAATGTTTTGGCCATTGTATGCTCTGGCCTTCTTCAGGTGGTTGCAATGACAAACTGAACCCTTTATTTCGCTTGCTGGGTTAGACTGTTCTAGTTCCACATGCCATGTCTAATGGATGTCATTTATCAGTTATCTCCTGTTAATTCCCTCTCCAAGTTTTCCATTCTTAATAAAATATTGAACTCACATCTTTTGGTTCCTGTCACTATTTATATATATATGTTATGATAAATATGGCAACAAAGATGAGGACAATAGTTTGAATAATGTAAATAAAAATCTTGTCAGCATTTGAGGTTGATATGCCATAAAACAAACCAAACCAAACCAAACTAAATTTAGCCCAGTTCA